CTTTTCCCCCAGCAGTCTCTGCCCCCCAGGTCTGCGTCTCTCTCACCCAGGGGCGGGAGGAGGTCGCTGACCCACAGAAAAATCAGTCAGGGGCCACACACGAGTGAGAAGCAAAAAACCAACAAACCAAACCCCTCACTGACGTGCCCCCCGGCCGAGGGGCAGAAAGACCCTCTCCTCGTTCCCCTCACATGCCAGAGCCTGGGGGGGGCTTGGGCCAGTAGATTTTGTGCACCCCGTTCCTGCAGACTCCCCAGCGCTGGCGTGGGGGCCCTGAGCCTCGGGGGCCGGATCCAGGCAAGCCAGGGGCCAGGGCTGTGCTTCCCCACCCTCGAATCCCGTCTCCGTCTCCCGCCAGGTAGATGCGGACTCCCGGGCTCTGAACCATGCGGGCTCCACGCCGTCGTTCCGCGAGCCCCGCCCCTTCGCCAAGATAGCCATGAGCAGCTGCAAGTACAATGGCGGCGTGGTCCGGCCCCTGAGCGGCCGGGTCGCCTCCCAGCACCACCCCCTCGCACCCGGGGCCGAGACCCAGCCCTTGGAGGTGGTGGTCTCCCACACGGAGCCGTCCAAGGGCACGGCGGGCAGGCTGGGGCCGGAAGGGGAGGGGGGTAAGCGCCTGAGCGACTACGCCCTGATCTTCGGGATGTTCGGCATTGTCGTCATGGTGACCGAGACGGAGCTGTCCTGGGGCGTCTACACCAAGGTAGGGGCCTGGCGTGGCGCTGGAAGGCTGGGCACTCGGGGGGCGGGGGAAGAGGCGGGACCCCGTAAGCCCTGTCAGTCGCCCCGGAGAAGCAAAGGAGCCCACCTTGGAGCAAAAGGGGTCTCACGCAAGGGGGAATTTCGTCCCGGGGGCAGGGCAGGCCGGGGGCTGGGGGAGGGTAGGACCGATTGCAGGGTAGGGATGGAAGGGTGTGTCCACACTTGCATCCTCTTTCCAGAGAGGGATGCAAATGAAGACATCCGAAATTGCAAAGGAAGCCGGGATTTAAATATCCCGCGCTTCATTTGCATATTCGTGTTATGGTGCTATTTCGAAATACCAGACGCTGTTAAGACGCGGTTATTTCGAGAGAAACCCCTTCTCTCGAAATAACTGGTAAACCTCATTGTGGCTACGTCTAGACTGCAAGCCTCTTTCGAAAGAGGCTTTTTCAAAAGATACGTTTCGATAAAGCCTCTTTTGAAAAAGAGCGTCTAGACTACAACCGGTACTTTCGAAAGAGCAAACCGCTTTTTCGAAAGAGAGCACCCAGGCAATCTGGACGTTCTCTTTCGAAAAAGCACAGTGTGCATGACATAGCGCCTTATTTCGAAAGAGCACTTTCGAAAAAAGGCGTTCTTCCTCGTAAAACGAAGTTTTCCACGGTCGAAAAAACTGCCGTGTTCTTTTGATTGACTTTCGAAAGAATGCGGCAGCAGTCTAGATGCAGGGGAAGTTTTTTCGCAAACATCTAGATGACATCCCTCTGCCAGCCGAGGGATGTAAATGAGGCACTTTGAAAGTGCAAGTGAAGCGGGGATTTAAATATCCCGCGCTTCATTTGCATAATCGCATAATGGCGCTCTTTCGAACAAGCGCCATTTCGAAAGTAAAACCCCGGTCTAGACACGGTTCTTTCAAAAACAGCAGGCTTTTTCGAAAGATCCTGTACTCCTCAGAGCGCCGTGACGTGATTATGCAAATGAAGCGCGGGATATTTAAATCCCCGTGCCCCGTTTACATCCCTCTGCCGGCAGAGGGATGTTATCTAGGCGTAGCCAAACATGCTGTGTGGGCGATTTCTTTTTGCTCAAAATCCCCTTTTCCCACAAGATCGGTATACCCCATACCAATCTTGCGGGAAAAGGGGTTTGTGCGAGAAAAGAAAACGTTCCCACGGCTTGTTTTTGCGCAAAAACCCCTAGTGCAAAAACGGAGCGGCAGAAAATATGCAAAGGAGATCGCTGTGACGGCGCGTTGGGGGTCCCCCGTCTCCTGCACCCCGAAATGGCACAAACAGACTGCCCCAGCCTGTGGAACCGGTGGAATAGAGGAAGTTTATTGCCTCTCCAGGATACAGCACAGCACAGATGGAATCTGGTCACAGAGCTGGGCTGGGATGCCTCAGGCCCCCTTGAGATGGGGGAGACTGGGCCCCTAAACTCAAGCCCCTTTCCCTAGGCTGTCTCCTCCATGCTTCCAGCCAGCAACCCACTAACTCTCCTCTAGCCCTGCCCCCCAGCCAGGGCAGCATCCACCTTCCTTTGTTCCTCTCCATGGCCCTGGTGTCTGGCCACTGGTTTGCATAGTGACTCATCCTGTTTTGCTGGGTCGTGGTACCCACGGCAGCCAGTGGGGGTTACCCCAGAGCCAGCAGCATAGAAACCAGCCAGGTACCCCCACTACGTCACAATCGCGACTCATGCAAATGAGTCCCTCGTTAGCACATTTTTTGCCAGGAAAACTCGTAACGTAGACATAGCCCCACTGTGTGCACCCCCGGCTGATTTTTCTGTGGGTGTGCAGCCCCCGATCCAGAAAAGGTTCCGCACCCCCATAACGGCTGAAATGTTCAGCAGTTACACCGTTAGCCAATTACACACGTTTTAACATCCCTAAGGCAGGTGTCATACATGTACTCCACGTAAGGGATAAGGACCGTGTGTGAGCCCCCCTGCCGGCGTGTGTGTGTGCACACGCTGGTGCGTCACAGTGCAGGGTGGGTGCCTCTAGGGGCGTGTAAACGTGCGTGCACGTGTCCCAGAATCTGTGCGCTTGTGCACGCGAGCGTGCCCTGATGCGGGGATACATGCACGGACCCATCTCTTGCATGCACGCCTCTTCCCTGGGCATCCCATGGAGGTGCCCCCCCGGCCCCACGGATGGCGGTCTGCCCCCGAGCGGCACTGAGGATTAATGGGCCCTGCCCTGTGAGGTTTCAGGCTGATGGGCGTTTTGCGCTGACAGTCGTGCCCACTCTTGGCCCCTCGGCTCCTGGGCGGGACCCCCCTCTGCAGGGTGGCAGCCCCTTCTCGGGGAGCCCCCTCCACGCCAGCGGCCGGGACAGC